ATTTGACAGAGAGAGACACAGCGAGAGAGGGAACACAAGCAGGGGGAGTGGGAGAGAGAGAAGCAGGCTCCCCGCTGAGCAGGGAGCCCGATGCGGAGCCCGATGCGGGGCCCGATCCCAGGACTCTGGGATCATGACCTGAGCTGAAGGCAGACGCTTAACGACTGAGCCACCCAGGCGCCCCTCTGCCCATTTTTAAAAAATGTTTGGTGAACCGAGTCCACTATTATTAAATTATTACTTAATATTATTAAGCACTATTAAATAGTCATCTCTGGGCATGTTTACAAAGGGATCAGGTCATGCTCTTATCTCCAGAATGTCTTTCAAATACAAAGCCAGCCTTGGGTCTCTGAGCTCCTGGAGCAAACAGGAGCCCCCCAGTCCCTGCTGTGGTGGGGGTGGGGATGAGTGGGGGGTGGTGCTGGCCTTGCTCTTCAGAGGCCATCACTGTCACAGTCCAGGAAACCTGGACTCCTTGGGAGGCAGCCTGGCTGGGGCCCTTCCAAAGGAGACACACTTTCCTTGCAGACAAACCGGGCCACCTCCGGGCAACCAAACACGGCGGGTGGGAAACGGGGGCAGGCAGAATAGAATTCTCTTCTCTCATGAATCATCCCCAGCATCTTATGTATGAAGGGCTTCACCTTTAGTTCACAGAGTTTAAATGAGGGAAAGGAAGAGGCGGGGTGGGGTTTGGCAAGAGAAGAAACTAGAAGGCTTCCCAAATTCCAGAGTTTAGACCGCTGCTTTTTCCTTTTCCTGTAAAAAAAAAAAAATTCCTCGAAAATCCTAATAAGGAAAAACCATCTTTTGCTAACAAAATGACTGAATGAATAAAAAAATAAAATAAAAAGCAATTGGCTACTAACCAGGAGTGGAAATTTTGATGGGAAGTGAAAATTATGGTAGAAAGAGAAACTGAAAAGTCAAGAAGTTTAAGGCCTACTTCTTTGAATATGCTGTTCTTTCTTCCCCATGTTGGGCCCCAATACGAAGGATGGAAGGATTGTAATTATGAACTTGAATTTTTCCAAGTATCTTAGAAGGTTAGATGCTCTCTGTGTTGGTCCTACCTTGCCATAACCTTCCCGGGTAGGTCCTGTAGTTGGGCCCATACTCTCCAGGAGAATGGAGTGTGGGCTTCTCAGGATGATGGCTGCTCAACAGGACCAGGGCCAGATGGGTTGGTCTCAGCAGAAATCTGATCTGGGCTCCGTGTCCTGGAAGGAGCCCAGTGTAGTAATAGGCCTGGGAAACTGAGCTGGCCTGAGTACTAGAAGCAGGATGCGGCGGGAAGGAGCTGGTGAGGACTAGCCCGGCACAGGGCCCGAGGGGGAAGGGCAAGAGCAGGTACAGACGACAGCAGCAGGTGACAACCAAGGGTTGGATGTCCTTGTAGGGGTTCCCAGCAGGTGAGGAAGGCAGAACCCAAGGAATCTGGGATAGAATCAGGTTCACGGGCAGCAACCAACACCAACAGAGGACACCTGACAGGTGATAACAACAGGAACTCA